GTGTGTATTTACATTGAAAAATTGTATAATAATCGTGTGTTGTTATGTAAGATTACAAATTGGTAATTGTTATTAGTTATAATTTTCATTTCATTGAACATTTATTTAGGAATTGTCTTCTGCACTTAAAGAACATTGAATGTTCGCGTTTACATTCAAAATTAAGCATTTTTTTAAGGTAGATTTAATAATTTTAGTGAATTATGTTTGGATATTAATCATAACTTTTTCCTGAAACAGGTTTTTTCTAAGTAAATTCTTATTGGAATCAATGAATAAGTGACCAAAATATGCGTTTATTAGATATTAATGCCGGTTGCTCAACCGTCTGTTAATCGTCTTTATCTTCGGTGAAGTTGTTCGGCAATTAAATGTCAGTACGAGCGCCGTAAACTATTTGAAAGTATTACTGGAATATCCTATCGAAATGAGCGTTTTGCAACGATGATGCCGACAATAATAATGATGATAATGTAGAATGCAAATTAGCTCTAGATGCACTTTTACAATTGGATAATTTCAACGCGGTTACACACTCATACAGCGCATGCAATTTATGTAACGAATTCCGCATGGTCTAATGGTTTATTTACGGTGCTCGAACGCTCTCCTCTCGGACCTTCGTTTTCTCTTTCGTTTGCGGCCCTAAAAGAAGAATTACCGGTTGTTCTCCGGCAAACAGAACGTGGGCGTTCTCTGAACAGGGTGAAAGTTGAGAGATCCGTTTTTTTTTTGGACGTTATTCAAGAGACGCTAGCAGTTGCGTAACAGAAATCGGAAGAAAGCCGCGATTCGATAAGCGGATCACCTAAATTCCGCCTCATTTTTTAGTCATTACAATTCTACAAGAATTATGTAAATTTAACGTTCTCGATATCGAAAAACGTTTACTTTATTTCTATTTTTTTTTACATAACAGTAATAGTAATTGTGTTTGTTTTTTAAATAATCTTGCACGGAGATTTGAACAATCGGGGCTTTGCCGCAGAAACTAATTTACTTTGTTTTCTGGTGGAGACGTTTGGATTTGCGCTCAACTTTTGAAGAAGTTCTCCCCCACAACGTCGAAGCACAAAGCGAAATATCGAATGCCTCTCGTACCCAATTATCATCAACGAAAACTTAACCTTTTCGGTGAACCGCACACAATATACCGTTCGCTAATTATAGTTCGTACGCTCGCTTTAATTGAAATAGTTTATTTAGTTCAAATAATTGCGAAATTAATACTGCATATTTGCGATTTCTGTAAATTGTTTGCTTAGATTTAATTATATTTGAAAGATCTTGGCTGGAAAAGTCTTAATCTTTCCATCCTTGTCCATTAGCTTATATTAATTCGAATTTGTCACTAGTTGACATCTTTGTGAAAGAAGTATCGATCAATATGTGAAATGTTCTTAATATTTACATCCTCATAGTATTCTAATTCGTGCACTTGCTTATATTAGTTTCAATTCGTAATTAGTTACCAACTATTAATCTTTGTAAATGAAACATTGATCAATTGTGTCCAATATGTTTTGGTTGGAAAATTTGTAAAAATCTCATTTTTTTTTCATCCTCATCGAATTCTAATTTGGATTCCCAAATTAATTCGTGCATTTGCATCTATTGGTTCCAATTTGTAATTATTTAACAACTATTAATCTTCGTAAAAGTAATATGAAGGTGTTGTGTCAAATGGGTGGAGGTGTTGTGTCCAATATGTGTTTGAAAGGAGAAAAAAAAAATGTAAAATTTCTATTTGAATGCCAAGCACGTTCGTGCAATTGAAATAGTTTAGTTCCATTAAATACGAGCCAAGTTTAATTAATAGCAATTAATTAATTTACAATTAACAATTCGCTAAATTAACAATTAGTTCTGGGACAGGTAGTGTAGTTGCATTCGACAGGATTGATTTAATAAACTGAATGGATTATTTTGGTTTTGTTTAATAATAATAAAAAAAAAGGATTAGTTAGGACACATTTCATTCCTCATCACTGTTATTATTATTATTATTACTCAGTTTTTAAAATTAATTGAGAATTAGTTGCGTTTCTTCATATACGCAATATTCAATAATTTCTTTCGTAATCAACAATTAGCAAATGTGAAGAAATTGATTGTGCAAAAAAAACTTATTCCAAGAACTTTAATCCATAAGTATTCATTAATACAAAAATTACTTTGTTTCATTTGTAGTAATGTTTCTGGTATTTAATTGGATTTAATTATATGTTGATGGCATTAAAGCAAATGCAATTTTCAGCTTCCTCAATTCTCGCCGATCAAAAGAAGTTGTTGCGTTATGCAATTCAGAAAACGCAGCAGCATCCAATAAATCTTTCCTTAGTCATTGCCGCTCAATTATCTTTAACACGCTTCCACTAATTGGCAGTGAATTTGATCGTTTTTGAGTGTATATTTATAATAGTTTTTTTTTTGTTGAGTCATTATGGTTTAATTTATATAATATAATTATGTGTTAGAGATTAATAGTTTAATAATTAGATTATTTCGATACTTCATTAATTATAATACAAATGAAAGAATTTGTGTTGATTGATAATAAGGAGACTTGGTTGAATTATTTAGCTTGATTATTGTTAATAATTAGTTGCTGCGTTTCATAATGATTTCAGTGAATAGTTATGATCAAGTAGGCTCATTGTTATTGCTTCGTGCAGATGTTCGATTTGCTCTTTGTTGCAATGATGAAAAGATGTAACTGTTAATTTAACATTCAAGTTTAATTGTCATTTCAATTTGATTTTGTTTTTTTCTTCATCTCATGGCACACTAAAGTTCCACAGCACACTTTGTATTTTGTTACAATTATACATGTTACTTCTTTGGAATT